GAGGAGAACCCTAGCGCCCCGAGCTCCTCCGCCGCCAGCCCTGTCCGCGGCGTCCCTCCCCTCTCCTCCTCTCCCCCGCCCGCGGACGATCATCTCTCCTCCCCAAGGCGACGGCGCGCGGACGGAGGTCGTGATTTCAGGGGTAATCGCTCACTCCCATCTGTACTAGCCCACGCATGTATGGCTGGCTCATGTCTGGTTTGTTTCTTTCAGTTTTATTTTGTGAAAAATTCTGATCGGTTCTCCGAGTCTCAGATTGACTCTGGTTCCTCTGTTTTGATCCGATGATGTTTTGGGCCGTGCCACATGGTAGGACGAGATGGGATGATTTTCTAGATTGACCGGGTGGGAGGTTCTCACCCGTGCCCCTCTCGTCTGGATATTGGTTCGATTTTGTCTAACATGTTAATGCGTTGGATGGGATACTGATAAGAATTTGCCATTCAGATGTCAGCATCAAGCGTTTTATGTCCAGGAAATGTATGTTCTAGGAGCTCACTGTTTAGAATTTAAGATGTGTGGGTACATTAGTAAATGAAGAATTTAAGCCACTTGGATCGATTATTGCATAACATTTTAAATAAGGAAAGTAATTATGTTTTGTTAATGTGGGATTTATTAATTTGCTGTTATGGACAAAAATGGTTTGCAGCAGCATTCGGTTTGACTAGCTTGTGTACCTTTGTATTTTCAACATGCAGTTTACATCATTGATTTCAAACTGTGGCCATCTGGCTTCTGAAAACAGTATCATGAGAAACTGCCTTTTTTGCATTCAGTTACCGGCAGAGTTCTTGCCTCTTTTATAAAGAAAATCTGTTGTTCTGATTGAAGGTAAATTCAAACCAACAGGGTAGTCTCAGCACTCTTGGGTGAAGCTGCCGCTGCAAAAAGTTGAAGCAAGCCAGTAGAGATGACATCAGAAGGGAATAAAGCTGCTGCACCTAATGAACCGCTGCCCATTGAGCCACTCGCAAGCTCTGGTGCAAAGCGTAAGCGTGGTCGTCCAAGGAAGTACGAGTACTCTACATTTGAACAGCCACACATGACACAGCCCATTCAAAGCATTCCACCTTTTCGCAGTGCGCTGTATAACCCAAATATCCAACATGATGGGGTGCATATTAACCATACATTAGGTGGTACTCTTGACACTAAAATGCACACAGTTTATGTGCTGCCTGCACAGCAGACTCAAGGTGATAGGCCCAGTCGACCTGTAGAGTCTGGTAGCACAGTCAAGTTTCGTGAAAATCAAGTCTCCAGCAGTAGTAGTGCTCATCTGCAAGGTAATTTAGGCAAGGATGTTATCATTGGCAAGCATTTTGTTGGAAAGATGACCAAGCAATGTCCTGGATTTTCTCTTATTACGGTGAGAGTGAAGGACAATCAGGTGCTCAGAGGTTGGATCCCAGATGAAACTAACCTACGCCCAATAACACCGAAGGATGATCTTGCCCCTGACCTCCCCATGCTCCAACCAAGTAAACTTCAAAAGAAAGCATCTGCAATCCACAGACAAGCTGCTCCTCCCTTACCAGTCCACTTAGAGAACGTTACAATTGCAAAGCCTCTTCAGATGAGGAGGCCTGTGGAGACATCTACCACTAAGCACATCATCCCTCCTGCTCGAAGACCTTACGTTGGTTCTGGGGTTGTTGCAGCAGCACCTGTTTCGGTTATATCTGGGAATGTATCAAGGCCTTTGCCCAAGCAAGACACTGGATATTTGAGCCAAGAACCATCAGCTACTGTGGTGCCAGTCACAGTTAAACCTGCCCAGCCTGTATTAGTATCATGCAGACATGTGGATCAAGATGTGCATGTTGAAGGAAAATCTGTCCCTGAGTTTAACACTGATTCTGAATCTTCAAGTGGAAGCAAGGAGTCATCAGGTATGCTTCTTGGATTAGATGCCCTTCTGTGGTTCAGATAAAATCCACATTGACCTGAAATCCTAATCTGTCCTTCCCCAGGACAAGTTCAGAAACTTGTCAACCCTGTCAGTTATGCATGACTCTCAGGAAACTTCGTGTACTATGTGAAGTTTTGATCTTGTGAGCTTTAATTGTATTTATGTTAATGCTCAGCACTTATTACCTGAAAAACTGAATACTGTTCTTGTGGATGTAGTTATGAAAGAATCTCCAGGTTAATCTAAGTTTTATGCAGTTAAGAAGCATGCAATTAAAAATTTGAACAAACGCTACCTGTAATATGGAAAAGAGTTCAGTTCATGTGTCATGATTTTGGATCTTATCTTGGCAGGCCAAACTCCGCGTGGTTTTCCAGCTGCCATGGATGAGACTGAGATAACATCAGGTATCACATTAGGCCCTGTATGCTTGCTCATGTCCTTCATGAGTAAATGGCTTCTTAATGAATAATTAACGGTGCTATTTTGGTAGGCTCCAAGGAACACTCAAATACTGCTAATAGCGACCAACATATTTGTAAGGAACCATCAGGTAATATGTAATTTTATTTTTATTTGGTTGATGCGCTCAACAGTTATCCTGAGCTAATTCTTTGGGTGTGAAAATTCAGATAACCCAGAACTGTCTGATGAACCAAAGACAGAATCTAGCATCCTGAAAGGAGTTGATGGCTCAACGACAGAAGCCTCAGGTAGACCAAGACCCGACCTTTTATGAACAAAAAAATTATGATGAGTGAGATTTGTGTAGATCAGCTTAAAGTGGAAATGAATGATTGGACTTGTTTGGCTGTATGAGACTAAAGTACAGTATAATACAAAATAAGAAGCTTCATTTTTTAAAAAACATCTTGATCATTTTTTCTCTTCACTCCCGTGAATAGTGCAATGTCAATGCCACAATTACTATAGTTATATGCACATGCCAATATATTTCTTGTCTGCCATGTCAAAGTGTCCATAATTTCTTCTTTCGTAGGAACTACACCAGCGGCAGAGGCCTCAAGTGCAACTCCTAATCCCCTAGGTAGTTTACTCTGCTTGGAACATCAATTAAATTGATAGACTTCTTTTTCACTTCAAGGGCTAACAAACTGATGCGACCTTAATATTTGCATCCCAGATGATGTTCAGTCTGCTGTTAAGGAAGACGAACTGAAGGTTGACAGCAAAGAAAGCAGGCTGACAACGACGACATAGGTCCTGTTGTTTGGTTTATGCTGTTTCGCCAAGCTTACAGGAATCTCAACGTAAAGTGGGGTCTTTCTGTGGATGGTTGAACCCTAGAGCAGACTAGTATCATTCATTTTTTATTCTTCTCTGACTTTATATGGTCAAAGGTTCAGAGGAGAAACAAATTCATAGAATCTTTTTGACCTTGCAGCTAGTGCTTATGGCAATGAGTAGAACGGAAAAAAATGTATATACATTTTAGCCTTTTAGGAAGATGACGAATATATACAAGCGTCTGGATGGTAAGTGGATCCTCTGCATTTCTCTCTTAAAATGCAGAGGCGCTACTGAGCTTGTGCTTTGTTAGCAGCGGTTCTACAATTGTTCTTTTGCCAAACGTTTGCTTCAGTGTAAACTACTCCCTCCGTCCCATAATATAAGACGTTTTTTGACACTACACTAGTATCAAAAAACGTCTTACATTTTGGGACGGAGGGAATACAGTATAACGGACAGGTGCTATTAAGCTTCTTCTGTTTCCCCTATACTTGCTTATCTGAGAAAAGATTCTCGAGCAACAGGAAAATAAAAGGCTGGCAGACCTGTAGGCCTGGATTGATTGATGGACTCGGCCTCAGAGGGTAGTCTGTTGTGTCATCCTCGATTGCTTAAAGGTCTAATTTTTTTTAACGCAGGTGGTTTGGAAAAGCAGAAGCCATGGTGATATCCGGCACTTTGGGTAGTTGTTTTTTAATGACCTCCGCTGGGAATTTCCTCCATCTCGAGAGGTTAAGAGGTAGGTGTAGGAACGAAAAAAACTAAGGGAAATGGAGATTCTTATACCAAACTACTCCTAGGCAACCCGTTTCATCAAACTATCCCACTGTTATTGGAATTCTGATTGATCAAACAAGAGAATCTATGCACTATTGTTATACGTTGGCCATACATAGCTATCACTTCTCATGCCACAGCGCTCCCCGGAGGAACACCCATCCACTAAGATTTAGCGCTAAATCAACGACACTTATTTTGGAATGAAGGGAGTAACTTCTTCAAGGTCGAAGATGCCAAGCAACTTGTAGAAGGATGGCATTCATCTTTCCTTTTGCTTGAACAACCAAGTCAAACCCATAGCTATCACTTATCATGCCAAAGCGCTCTTATTCGGAGGTCCAAGATGCCATGCAACTCGTAGAAGGCCAGCATTCATCTTCCTTTATTCTTGAACAACTCAGGCAAACCAAGCCATGTAGATGCTGAGGGGAAAACAAACATGGAAGTAATAATGACTCTACATGATACGATGGGAGGCTCTCGCAGGAACCGTGAAGAGCCAAAACTGTTGGTCCAGTCTACGCAGGAACGGTACGGTTCAACAGGGCTGAACAGAGGTAAATCATCGATCATATTCAGCAAAAACACTAAGGCGGCTGCCAAACATGCGATGATGGCAACCTTGGTATTACAACAGGAGGCGGCCAACAGGAAGTACATGGGTCTGCCACTACAAGGAAAAACACATGTTGCCTTGTAAGTTAAAAAACACTCGGCTTATAGAACCGTAAGAACTAAATTGCTCTTCTCGGTTTAGATTTATAAGCCGAGTGTGAGTCCACAGAATGCACGGCTTACAGGTAACACGTGCCAGCAACCTGGATCCCCGGATGGTCACAGAACATCGTGAGGTGGCACTCGGTTTATGTATAAATCGTAATAGCAGGAACGACACTCGGCTTACATGGGCGTGCCGGCTTATAGCCACGCCACATAGCGCCACCTTAGGTGCTGTCGGCTGTGATCTCCTATATACGCCGGCTACAAGCATATTATACTCGGCTTACAAATAAGCTGTGTTTTCAATCTTTAAAACACGGCTTACATACCCTAAGCCGAAACACTCTAAGCCATGATGTTTAAACCGAGTGTAACACTCGGCGTACGCTAAGTCGTGGTTAAAATGGCCTTTGCTGTGTATGAAACATACACGGAATGCTTTTCTGGTAATGTGCTGATGTATATTGGACGTTCTATTGCACAATGCTTTGAGTATATCGAGGAGCGAGACTGTGAAGCACAGGTTTGACTTTCATGAAAAGCACAAGTTTGCTTTTTGTGAAGCACAACTATGACTTTCAAAAGAAAAAAAAACTATGCTTTCACGAGAAGCACAAGTTTGCTTTCATGAGAAAGCACAACTATGTTTCACAAAATAAAAATGAGTTTCCACAAGAATCACATATTTGCTTCCCGATTCAGCAGGCAGTTTAAAAGGTTGACCTATTTGGGAATCTCCGGATCTATGCTTATTTTCAACTCCCCGAAGCATAGATTATTTGGATCGCTCCTATTATTACTAACCAGGGCGAAAATAGATAATGATAGTTATACTTCTCTAGGAAGAAAGGAAAATCACAGTTTGTGCTTCTATAAACAAAGTGAAAAACCACAACCGTGCTTGTTGGCTTTGGTTTTATTCTTCCATTTTTAGGTATTCATTTTTGCACGAACCATTTTATTTTGGTTTTCGTCTTTTGGATTTTGTTTTTTGTTTTTTTTTTCTGTTTATGTTTTTTTGTGAAATGAAAAGTTCATCGCAACATATTAGCATGTGATTTAGTTTCAAAGATCATGACGCGAGAAATGCAACGGTGAAAACGGTTCAGTATTTGGATGCAAGGTTTAAGAGATAAAAACGTTAAAAAATGAATCTATGAAAATAAGGGAAACTGTCAAGTTGCAACAAGTGGCCTCCATGTCATGTGTGAAACAAAATACTTTTGAAAGCATTTTGGAGGACTGATTTTTTTTGCCACGCCTTCCACGAATGTGATCTCGTAAGAAAAATTTGCAATCAATTAGAATATTTGTTGAAGTTTGCAACAAAAAAAAATCAGTTTTTTTATTTTTACTGTTTATCCTAGCTCATTTGAGCTCGAGCTGAGAAGGGTACTTTCGGGAAGGAATGAGTTTTTGCAAGGGATACCATTTAAATAGTGATTCCGCGACAGGCTAACTTTCCTTTTCCCTACATATGGGTTGGGAATTTTTGCAGGCCACATGCCATTGCTTGCGTAGCCTGGGGCCAAGTTCCGCCTTTGCTCGCAGAGCTGTCTTGCCGACAGATGAACTTGTGTACTTTCTATGTACCGGTGTATTAGGCACATTACGAAAATCGGATAATTCCAAAACACTTTAAGTGTGATGCATTAATTTCCCACCTCGGTTCCTATTTCTTGCCATGTAAAAAGTAATCAACAAATACGAGACATGAGGCGCGTATACCTTCAATGACTTGAGACTATATAGCACATCAATGTCGTGATTAGTTCTCTGCATGCAAATGGTATTTGTAATTAGCAAATAAACATCAAGTTTCTTTCTTTCTTTTTTCTTCGTCTAGGTCGCGATGCACAAACTAAGATGGACTGATACGGAGGGAGTATTTTATAACTTAATTATTCCCGCGGTTGAAGGGGAAAATTAGTCTTAATGTCCCTGGTTGAGGATCTATTTGCATGTCGCTCCAATGTAAAACGACATTCCTTTAATGGCAACTTAATGAAACCGGGCTAACAAAACGCTTCTTTTTAATGAGCAACTCAATTAAACCAAGCTAACCAGCTCGTTGAAGATAAATATGTAAGTCATATTGGCCCCATCTCTATTACGATTTTAGCATAACGGTACAAGTTGAAGTTGCCTAAGAAAATCCATAGCGCATAACTGGTTATGTCTACTTCAAAAAGCTAATCCTATATACCTAAGAGATTCATCCTCATTATTATATTTATCTTAACATGCAGCCTATCCACATCATCGAGTGAGTCCCAACCTCACGACACATGCCACATCACAAATTATTTTATTTTTCTTTTTTTTTGTCCTCTAAACTTGCATGCATAAGCTGAAGCGACGTCCTCCGGTCTTTTTCCACATTTTTTATTTTGATTAGCCTCCGACTGGTGTTTTTTTGCTGCTATTTATGCGTCAGTGCCTTCAGTTATAGTTGTTGTTCCGTCCCCCCACTCATGCATGTGTGGAAACGAACTGATGGGATCATTAAATCCGGCCAGACATTCAAGCGGCAGGCCATCTGTCCGCAAACATATAACAATCGCATCACATCGGTGCCTCACAATATCCCCAGATCTTGAATAACTTTCATGTTGAGCATGTCAGGCGTTGTGGTGGCTCCCCTGGATCTCCCTCGACTATCTAATAGGTGCCTTATTGGTTGGTTGTCTCCTTTTTTCTGACCTGTGTTTCTTTTTGTGGAATCGTGAAGATATACGGAATATGTATTTAGTTTCTCAGATGAAAATTTGGTGTCGATGGACATGTTGTTTGCCTCCCTTGCACATATCCTGCTCCCTCATATTTCTCAACTGTTTTGAAACACTACAACTGCTATATAGATTAAAGATTTGCCTGCTAAAAAGAGCAACGCCCCGCGTCGTCTCGGCTGAGGCGGCACGGGCGGAGACTCGATCGCGCCGCCGGGCCGCCCTCCCGCCCCCCTCCTTCTTCCCCTCGCCGTCGCCGGAGGAGGCCGCCGGGCTAAGCCCTGGCGGCGGACGGCGGCGGCGGGGGCGTTTTCCTCTCGCCAGGCCGCGAGATCTCGGGATGGGAAGGCTCGATCCCCTTTTTCCGCGTCGCGCGATGGATCCGTCGGGGGCTTCTGCTGCGGCTCCGGCGGGCCACTGTGTCTCCTGGCAGCGGCCTTCGCGGGTGGCAGCCGCGATAGCCCCGTCGGCGGGCGCCTGG